GGTGAACAAAACTGCAACAGTTTTGCTTTTCAGAGCCGTAGAACGCTCAGATTTTTACACGCAGTGTGAGGTTCCAGAAAAACTGCTACAGCGTGCCGAAGGACAGATTGTAGTCAATGAAACTTTACCATATGTATGTGTTCCAGCTATTAACGATAGCAGAATAAAACGCTTAGGAGAAATTAGACAGCGAAGCTAAAAAAGAATAGAAAATAGTGAGAAAAATAAAGATTTCGGAAAAATAAAGATAATCCAGCAGAATTTTTTACCGATGAAAATTGGAATTGAAAGGTTAAGAAACAGCCTTTCTACCCTGAACTAGCCTACTATATCGCCTCACTTCTTCTCCTACCACATTCTTTTCAAGTCTTCTCGTGATCTTTTGTTACAAATGAGGAGCAAATCAGAAGGAACCGCGCCAAATAATGTTTCTTTTTCTTCAGGTTTTACCAATTAAAAGTCATCCCCTAAATGAAGTTAATGTAAAAAGTCGACAGTTATGTGTTCAGCATCTTGACAAATGTATCGGGAAATCTAGAATCATTAGAGTTAGTTTAATCTTTTAATAACTTTATCGTACTGCTATTTTTTTCGTTCGGTTACAGTGAGATACTTACATTAGTCTGCTGCAATAAAGGCTAACCAAACGTTCGATCCATTTACTTAAGGTTTACGACGACAATTTTCCCTTTCTTGTTGCCTATCTTGAAAGCGATCAGTCCAAAAACCATACATCAAAGCTTCACAGATTGATTGGTCACTTTAAAAAAGGGGGAAATGTCTTATCTTGGGTCAGAATTCATCACAGTTATGGATTTCTACTGTTCTTCAATTTTCAGCAACGTCACTGCCTAATAGCAATTCCAGTGGCCAAAGTTCGGTTTCATCTAGGCACAAAAACTGGCAATTTTTATATATATGGCAATGAACACTCATGTTACGCCCCAAATTACCCAACACGATGTTCGATTCTTTAATTAAAATGATGTCTGTTGATAATATATGCCATGACGTCAGCAATGCCAAAGATTGTTTTTCATTTCCTTTTTTTAATTATAACTTTTTTTTTTACTATCAAATTTTAATATTCCGCATATGACCTCTTGCCACTTTTTTTTACCACTAAGCGGAACAAATGACTTTATTCTTTAAATTTCGCTTCAGTGATAAGCTTCAGCTGAGAAGAAAAGAAAAAATTGTCAAATACTCTTCTTTTGCCATCATCTTTTGCCTTCAAATAAACATTATTGCTTTGTCAATTTAAGCACACACAAGATGCATGCAGAGTACAGTACTGCGACAACTGCTATCCGATTAAGCAAAAAATTTTCTTAAACTCTATGCATAAAGATACCAAAGGAAATATGCAACAAAGGTTTTGCCCTCTGTTCGCCAATTACACTGAACTACAGCCGTATTTGAAACAACATTCACAATATGGTTGAAAATCCTTACAACGCAGTAATTTAAGCAAGCCGTTCTTTACTGCATCATGGAGAAAAGGAATGCGTCCCACAACTAAAACGACTATCTTGCTTTACCACTTGCTTTACCACAACTCATCGTAAATAATAGCGAAAAGGGTCAGAAAAACTAGAAATTTATTACCAGTCAATACGCAAAAATCAATCCAAACCTTCAACAGCAATAGATGTAAGACTGTCACCAAACTAATAAGAATAAACGACCATAACAGAAACAAGAACCAGAAAGATATTTGAAATTGAAACGTTTTTAAAACCGACAATCTCCAAATCGATTCTTCCAATACTGCTACAAAAAATTATCATTACACTGTCTCAAAAATCTCGCTTTGTTCTGGCGACCTCGGTGCTGAAAATCAAAAAAATGGAGTGCCAGTTAAGTGCTCTGTCACCAAATAACAAACAGCCTTTAATACTTCTTCAAGAAATGACTACAAATTGACCATCACCATAGCGAGATTGGCTCTTCGAAAAAGCGAGGTATTAGTTCAGAAACAACAGCTGATGAGTTCACTAAATGTTATCAAACGTGAATACATTAAAGCTCAAAAGTGAGATATAAGACAATACACTGGAGAACCAGCAAATAATAAAATACATCTAGATCTTTTTACATAATCAAGCTAACGACGGATTCAATAGTTCTGCAAAGTTTTAAGCTGCAGAAAAAATAGCATGCTAAAGTAGGGCTAATAACAAGCACTAATTATAACACTAGTTCCAAATGAATTGGTAAAATTAAAGAATCTTTAGAAATCTTGATACAACAAAAATTTATTTCTCAAACAATAAAAACTTAATCCTATGCAAGTGAATTCGACTAAAAATTACCAAACTCTTATGAAAGACAAAGACATAACTTTTCAGTGCCTAATCTTTGAAAATTCTCGATTAAAACAACTCCAAAATGCAAAAGCCTGACGAGTTTGAATAAAATTTGGATTAAAAACCCGCAAGGATTCTACATTATTAAGAAGAAGCTCACAGGCTAAAAGATTGAAAACATGATTTCAAAACTCTTAAGAAGAAAGCTCCTCCTCTTAAATCTAATTTCAGAACATGTAAAATGTTGGCGAGAAGAACATTCGAAAAAGAAGAAAGATAAAAGTTTTAAACCACTGAATTCGCTAAGCGTCTGAACAGAAGAGCACAAAAAATTCCAAATAATATGAAAATGATAACAAGGTGCCAAGAAAAAAGAGGCACTGAAGGATGTGGGAGAGAAGCAGATGAAGTCTTATCTGAAGGAGACACAGGGGTATTATCTTGGTCAAGAGATGGCAATGTATCAAACTGAGTAGTAACAGACTGAGAGTTACAGCATTCAGAAGATGACGCGCGAACATTTTTGCTAGGAGGAGCTAATTGTTCGCCAATCTGACTGCTATTGTCAGTCTGACTGTTCATTCCAAATTCCACTTTTAGTTTGTTCACAACTTCAGTAGAACCAAAATCTGCAGATTCGTCATCAGAAATTTTAGTTTTTTTCTTTCCATCATCTCCGGCAAAAGAGTCGGTCTGCAAAAAATTCATATGAGCTAAAACTCCAAAGTCAAACTCTTGAAACTAGTCATTGCACAAGTGTCTAAAAACAAAAAAAAAGAAAAGAAAAAAGATTGAGGGTAAAAACTAGTATGAAATGCCAACAGAAGTTTCTCAAGATTCTGCTTCAATAACTAACAAGCACAATTCGCTGGACAAGTTGGCGCGCCTCCTCGTTGTCCTTAGAACTACCATTTGTAGGTTGCTTTGCTAGAGCGTCGCACATACGCAATCCGCATTCCTTGCATTCCCATTTCTGACTTCTGCAAGACTTACATACTGAATTTACAGACGAAGTGGTTTGAAAACGTGTCCATTGTTATTCACATTCACAGTTGGAATACACTACCTACCAGAACAGAAGGCTTATATCCCTAAAAACGTAACTAGAAAAAACTCTTTGGTAGGAAATCACCAACTATTTTAGAATTTGTAGTTCCAAAAAGATAGAACTATCCTAGACTTACAAAAGAGCTAATCGTCGCCGTTCTTCTGGAGGGTACTCTAAGGCACCTAGAGCACCAGCAGACTGTGTAGGCATGAAGCCAATAAACGCCAATAACGCTGTCCGAACTAAAATAATACTTGAATGAAAATATATGAAAAGCTTCATAGAAATTCAATAAGCAAGAATTAATTCGGTAAATTTACATGATTTAGACGATGCTACTCGAGTAAAAGAAAAATTGTTAAAACTAAAACTCACTTGACCAGGAAGGTCGCCAAGACTCCGGGTGGTAACCGGAAATGCTCAAGCAAATCTTTTGATTCAGTTGAAACCGGCCATTAGGCTAAAAAACGCAGTTATGGCGAATAAAATAATTTTAAAGGCTAAATGCATTTCAATCAAGAATAAAAAAATTAGTTGTTTTTGGAAAATAAATTTTTAAACTGATTTTTTTACTTCCTCCTCCTGTCATAACTTAAAGAAACTAAATTACGACAAAAAATTCCTATCATGAAGAAATTAAGCAACATTATTTACCGTGAGGAAGATCACACTTGGCGGTTTCATAGGGTAATCAACAGGTAATAAAATCCGGCCGTGATATATGCCACCATCAAAATCAGTGTCTGCTGGTCCCCGAACCGTAAAATGCCATTCAAACAAATTATCCTGAAACAGAGTCGAACCAAACCTTACAAAAGTAATCTGCGTTATTGATTTCTGAGTCTTCCAAATGACCTAGTCAAACCACTTCTCAACAAGAAAAGAAGCAGAATACCACTTACATCGAGCGGTTGTGCATAATACATATCGGTAGGGTTTCTTAACTCTTGAGCCTCCTTCATTAACCTTTTAACCCCTGGAACCGATAGCTTCTTTTTTTTTTTTTAAAAAAAATCAAATTTCTGCCCCACTTTCTTCTTTCTCAATACAAACAAAAAACTTTCTGCATTTTAAAAGCAATTACTCTTCAATTACAAGGAAATGATCACCTGGATTTCGCATGTTGTACTGCGAGTAATCGAACCCAGTTGAGTCCTGCATCAGACACAAACACCGACTCAATACCAAAAGACACTAAAATACTAATTTAAAATATCAAGATTTTCGAAGAAGACCTCATCGCCTAACGGTTTCTAATGCTGACTTTAAACAAGAACAACAAAAAACACCAAAAATAAAAATCGTCGTTTGATACTGTTGAACACTAGTGCTGTCGACCAGACTATTAAAGCCATTTTTAACTTTAAATCCTTCTCCTTCCTTCCTGGTAAAAATAGACTAGGTTTTTGTCAAAACCTGCCTATAGACTATCTACATTAGAACAATCTTATTCACTGTTAAAATTAAACTGGAATTTTAGCAGCTTCAAAACTCCCCTAAAAATCTTAAAGCTAAAAGAGAAGAAAAGTTTAACATTCAACATTGCTCAAACAAGACCGGAGAAAACTAAATAAATCCATTATTTACAATCCCAAATATATGCCGTATGAAATATCCAAAAAAATAAAGTACATAGTCGATTAGATAAACTTTTTTTTCCCTTTCCCAAAACGACCCAACCTAGTGAATCTGAAATTATGTTTGGTTCAATAAAACAAGACTAACAGTTTATTGTAGCAAATAAACATCCATACACTAAAAAATAGTACTGAAAATAAAGCATCATATAGTCAGAGATAAACGAACCTTCATATTAAGCACAGTTTAAATGCCGATTCAATAGAACTATGACTGACGATGTTACACAATCAAGTTGTTTATAACAAACTTAATTCTTTTCATCAACCATAATTATTACAATACAGTCAAATGTGCAGCAAATAACAAGTGTAAAATTGTTCTGATGTTTGCAGATGGAATTATTAGAAAATTAAAAAAATGCCCGCAAAAAATTAATTGATGAAACAAAGGAATATTTAAAAAACAAAGGAAAAAGAAAAAAGAAATAAACCTGACATGCATGTTTAACAACAAATGGCAACTTTTGGCTACAATAAATAGAAAAAAAAAAAAAAAAACTATTTACTATTATAAATTACACTCAATAGATTGCAAACTTTCTTTTTTGTCCCTCCTATTCAAGCAAACTTTAAAACAGTACATTAATTCAACATCAATCCTCATAAAACAGACAATTATTTTTGCAGTAAAAATAAGACAGTATATTTAATCAATCATGTTCAAGAAAAGAAACATAAAACATATACAGAAAAAAAGAAAAATGAATAATAAGAACGAGGAGTTTCGGTAAAATAGTTCAGCACTTAGCACAAAACTAAACAAAAATACTAAAACTTGGAAAAAAAATGTAAAAAACAAAAAAAATACCCCTTGACGACGGCCGTTAATTATGGCAAAACCGTACGCTACGAACAAAACTTTAAAGCATACCAAACATTCGTAAACATTTAAAATTGCACACCACATATCAGCCATACGTTTTACAGACCTCCTCTCATCTGCACAGCTTTTAAATACTGTTCAA